GCACACTTCGCTGACCGAGCCAGCCACGCGCCCTCCCCATAATCCCCATTTTAGAGGCAAAGACACTGAGGCTCAGCGAGAGGAAAGTGACCACATGGCAGGCTAAGTGGCTGCATCAAGGTGAGGTGAGTGGTGCTGGGGGCTTGGGGCCCAGCTGGAGGAAACTGCAGGCCACACCCCACCCCCAGGTCAAAGCCGATGGAACCTGACCCAGGCGGGCCACCCATCATCTGGCTAGCACTTGCAGTATTGGGGTCCCACCGTGGTTTCTCCCTCGGGAGTCCCAGAAAGAGACGCAGGGGGAGGCTGCCAGGCCTTTTCAAGGCAAGGCTAGGTGGGGTGAGGGGGAGGAGAGGAAAACAGGAGGTATCCAGAGAGTAGGCAGGCCCAGGGTGGGGAGAGGGGAGAGGGTCCTGAGGGTGGGGCTTGACCTACCTGTGGCCTGACCATGGACCCCCAGTTCTGTGAGGTGGTCTTGAGTGTTTCCAGTCCTTCATGCCTGCCTGCACTGTTCCAGGGGAACAGAGAGGGGTGAGGAGGCCAAGGGGGTGTCCTCACAAAGGCTCCTGCCGCTCCCCTTCCAGGGCCAGATCCCCTCCTCCAGGAAGCCCTCCTGTCATCACCCTCTACTCCCTACCTTCCCACACGCACAGCGCCTGGTTCAGGGCTTTCCTGGCAACCAGGCAGGGTCCCATGTCCAGGTCTGGTCCCTTCCCAGACTGTAAGCTCCCATGGCTCAGTGACATCCCCCGACCCAGCCCACTACTCACTTCCCCACGGCAAACACTGTGACCCCGATGGTCAGGTTCAGCGGCTGGTAGATGTGTTGCAGAAGCTCAGGGTCAAAGGTTCCCTCGGAGACGATGGGCGCCAACCAGGGCGTAAGCGTCAGCAGCTCAGTAGGCCTAGCGGCAGGGCAGGCCGTGGGGGGGGTGAGGCCCTTCCCTTGGGAAGGCCGCAGTCTCATCCTGGCCCTGCCTCCCATGCTGTGTGACCTGGGGCAGCTTCATCCCTGTCTCTGGGCCTCAGTAGCCTCCTATGGGAAGTGGGGATAATAACAGCTCCTCCCCGGCATGGTCGAGAGGACCAGGAGTGAATGCACATCCCGTGTGTAAGGGAGCCTAGCACTTCAGGTGCCTGCTAAGTGCCTAATACGTGAGGGGTCGCAATATCAGCAGGAACCCCGGATTGAGCACCTACTATGCAGCTGTGCCCCCGCCTTTAAGTAGGCTCCATGCCCAGCATAGAGCCCAACGTGGGGCTTGAACTCAAGACTCTGAGATCAAGAGTCGGACTCTCAACTGAACTGAGCCACTCAGGCACCCGGAGCTGTGCCTTTTGCAAACACCGTCTCATCTAGTCCTCCATCCAACCTGCTATGAAGTGGATATTCTATCCACCCGTACAGAAATAGTTCAGAGCAGTTCGGTAACCTGCCCCAAGTCACACAGCTAGTGACAGAACGGGACTGGAACCCAGGTCCCAGACTAGCTGGACCCCAAGGCCACCTGACATCCCCACCACCCCAGCTTATAAATCGGAGCTCTGCACCTGCCCTCCCCGCTCCACGCCCCCCTTCCTCCCGCCAGTCGCTCCATTCTGCACCCAGACCCTGCCCAACACCTACCCCTGCTCCAGCAGCTTGGGCTGAGGGTACAGTGACCTGTAACCAAGAAGGGCAGTGGTGAGGGGAGGCAGCCCCCAGCCCCCGGGGCCACAAAGGGGGAGATGGCAGTCTGCTTACCATGTCACTGGCTGGAACGGCTTCTCCCCTTTATACTGCAGTTTTATGTTGCTGGTGGCAGAGGCGAGAGAGAGAGGTGTTAGTGCCAGGGCAGGGGACAGAGCTACTCAGAGCAGGAAGGAGAGAGTGGAGAAGAAGCAAACACCCCCATGGGGCAGGCACCATGCCAGAGGTTCCAGGCAGACTCCCTGGAACCTTCCCCACTGCTCTGCCCACCCTGCAGGGGCTGGGCTCCTGCAGAAGCAGTCTGTCCGGGGTCACTGAGTGGCGGGGTGGCAGTCGGTACCCAGTGTCACCTGTCTCCCAAAGCTGATGCTCTTTCCAGCATGTCACTCTGTAGGGGCCTGGCAATGGGTAGAAGTTTTGAGAAGCTGCAAAGACCCGGTGATCCCAGTTCTGCTGCCTTCTCGCCTGGGGACCTGAGGTGAGTCACCTGGGCCCACGGTGATGGTCACTTGCGGGACCCAGTTACACAAACAGCAATCAAGGTGTTGCTTCGATGGTATTTGGTGGATGTAATTAACACCTACACCAGCTGCCCTTAGGTAGAGATGATCCTGCCGGGCCTGGGTGGGCTTGATAGAATCTGGTGGAAAGGCTTGAAGAGCAGAACTGAGGTTTCTGTGAAGACATTCTGCCAGTGTCAGCGCCGGCCTGAGCTCCAGCCTGCCCTTCCTGGGGCCTGCTCCCCGGATTCCAGACTGGCTCAGCTCCATCAATCTACCTTTCTCCCTCCCTCCTCTGTTCTGTGTCTATCATGGAATCCTGACTCATGCCCCCACACTTCCTCATCTGTAAAATGGGTAACCATCCCTCACCCTCAGAGCTGCCCTGAGAATCAAGGTATGCATCCATGTCCAGCACAGAGCAAACGCTCATTAAGACCATCTTGTCCCTTTCTTGGCAGGCAGCCTGTGTGGCCAGCCTCTACTAGCTTCAGCCGAGGGCAGCTTGGGTGAAGCAAGATGGAGGGCCCTGCAGGTTTGCATAGAGCCTCTGGTTCGGCCACCTGCGGGCTGGAAGGACCTGGGGCCAGACATTTGACTCCTCAGGCTTGAAAGTCCTCCCAATGACGTCCTTCCCCAGAGGGTGGAAGTGAGGCCCAGAGAGGCTGCCCGAGGTCACCCAGGGCGTGCAGCAGCTGCAGAAGGGGCCTGAGGTCGGCTGTCAGGCCAGACCACCTAAGCACACCGCACTTGCCGTTCGCTAAGGAATTTTCAATATGGCATCTTTGATGGGATAGCTTAAGCCTCCTTAAGTTTTCCTACCAATTTTTAGTCTATGCTTCTCTCTCTCTGTCTCTCTCTCTTTTGGTGGTAAAATGTACAAAACAAAGCTTTACTATTTTAACCATTTTTCAAAAAAGATATATTTATTTTAGAGGAAGAGAAAGAGAGGGTGGGGGTAGAGGGAGAGAGAGGGAGAATCTCAAGCAGATTCCCTGCTGACATGGGGCTCGATCTCATGACCCTTGAGATCATGACCTGAGCTGAAACCAAGAGTCAGACGATCAACCAGGCACCCCTATTTTAACCATTTTTAAGTGCACAGTTCAGGGGCCTGAAGCACGTTCACGCTGTTGTGCAGCCGTTCCCACCATCCCTCTCCAGAACCTTCTCATCTTCCCAAACTGAAACTCCGTCCCCATGAAATGCTGACCCCCCC